TGCGCGCGCTTTCGGCCGGTTCTGCGCATACCCTCGCCATCTCGGAGCAGGGCCGGCTGTACGCGTGGGGGCTCTGCTCCGCCGGCCGGCATGCCGCCCTAGACCCCTTTGCACTCTCCCACACTCCCCCACAATCTCCCGCAATCTGCTCCGCCGGCCGGCATGCCGCCCTTCACCCCACCGCACTCTCCCACACTCTCCCGCAATCTCGTGACTAGGCTCGGTACAGGGATGGGGCCGTGGTTCGACGCGGGCTCGACGGACGTGCCTCACGAGGTGATCTTCCCTGATCTCCCTCACGATCTCTCCCGTATCTCCCGTATCTCCCCGTATCTCCCTCGCGAAGGTGATCGTGGGCGCCGCCGACCGGCGCCTCGACCGGCGCGGGCGCGACAGCGGCGGAGAGTGGCGGCCGGCGGCGGAGCGGGTGGCGGCGGTGTCGGCGAGGGCAGCGGCGCGCGCCGCTGACCCGTCCCCGACACGTCCGCGACACGTCCGCGACACGGCCAACCTCTAGGCGGGCACCGGCGGGCACTGCGTCGCGGTGACGGAGGACGGGCGTGCGTGGGGGTGGGGTCGCTCCGAAGCGGACGGCGCCGACGCCTAGAAGATCGGAGCACGGACTCTTGTGTGCCACCGCGCGCGCGAGAGGACACGCACTCCGCTGTACTCGGCCGTATCCCGCGGTCTCGACCGTCTCTACCCCCTTGCCTCCACGCGGTGCTCCGAGGAGGCTCTTCCACGAGACTCCTGTACCCCTCTGTACCCCTCTGTACCCCTCTGTACCCCCGAGGAGGCTCTTCCTCGAGACCGCCCCTCTCCCGCCAGCGTCGGCGTGATCGTGGCGTTAGGCGGCGACGCGCCCCTACCCCCACGGTACCCGAACCCACCCTCCCCTACGTCACGGTACCCGCCACCCACCCTTCCAGGCGGCGACGCGCCCCTCGGGCTTGTGCGCCGTGAGGCGGGCTGCCGCGAGGCGCACCGCGAGCCCGCCCCCGGCGAGTGGGCCAAGCGGCGATCGCACCGCCACTTGCGTCAGTGCGCCGAGCCGCGCGCGTTCGGCCTCGAGGTAGCGAGCCGCGGGTGCGCGCGTTTGGGGAGAGGAGCCGAGAGGGGGGGGGGGGGGGGGTCCGACTTTGGTCGAAAGGTTCTCCAACTCGCCTCCAGATCGGAGCATCTCCCCACATCTCCCCCCAAATTTCCCCCAAATTTCCCCCCACATTTCCCCCCAAATTTCCCCGCAGCACCAGAACACCCACGTGCCGCCGTCCGCTACACACACCGCCGCGCGCTTGTCAGGTCGAACGGCGAAAAACTCGAGCTCCCCTTCCCCCCGTGAAGGGGGCGGGGCCTCCCCACGGCGTACCCTAACCCGGGGGGGGGGGGGGGGGGGGGGGGGGGGGCCCCCCTCTTGTGAAATGGGTTTTCCCCCAAAAAAACCCCCCCCCAAACCCTGTTTCTTTTAAAAAATTTCTGGGGGAACCCCTTCTCCCGAAATTTTTTTTTTTTCGGGGGGGTTTTTCACCCCAACCCCCCAAGGGGGGAAAAGAGTACATATACCCCCCTTTGACCGTGGAGCCCCCCCCGGAGAAAAAAAAAAAC